TATCTCACATGTTATCTTTTGTCTCCACCCACGTCCGACGCGGTGTGCACCAGCCCACGAGTGCATAGACGTTGCAATCTAGCTCGCCGGCGTTTCCCGACTTTCTACACTTTCACTTCCGAGACGGACAAAACGACTATAACTCCGACTATTATCGGAACTGGTGAATCAGTGTTTACCGACTAAAAGGAAAATCCTCGTGCGTCATGTGAGGTAAGCCGAAACCTAGTAGGCAGTGAGGCAGGCTCAATTTGGAGGTAATAAACCTACGTGCGAAGTGACCCAATGTTTTTGATGTTGTTTTGAGTTAGGAGTACCAAAAACGATAACTTGGGTCTTTACCAACATTGTTACTCATAATAAAACTAGGTTATTTTGACTTTTTTGCAACTTTTAGGTACTCGTAGATTTTCATTTTCAAAATGTAATGCANATAATGCATGTGTGAATTCCACGATTTATTTTTCAAATAGAGTGTTGCATGACTGAATTTATCAGAAAATATGGATATTCTGGATAGGTATTCTCTGTTCTCAGATAATATACTGCTACAGTCTAGACAATGAATTTAATTTAGACAGATTGGTGGTCACTTCGCTCTTAAAAAACTCAACGTACCTACTATTTGTGACGACTTTAACGAATCGAAACTTTGATGTTATTTTCTTGAAGCGCCTATTTAAAAGAAGCAATGTTTTCGTTCCTGAATTCCCCCAAAATCCGGCGTAACGTCTTACTTTACGTTGGTATTTTCGGTCGTGACCCAATCACATCCGTATTATCCATTTTAGTATCGCCAAAACATTGTTCTCCGTGCTGCATTGAGGAAAACATCGATTCACTTAAGCTAGAGAGAGCTTCGAACCATCTTCCTGCCCCAGAATATTCGAGGGCATTCGTTCTCAGAAACAAACATAAGCAATTGTATCTCAATCATGAAAGTATGTCAACCAAAAAGAATACTCAAATAGAAATCTTCGTGCAATCAAAAGTGCTCTAGGTATTTAACATTGACCAGAACAAACAGTTGTAAAACCATCCATGTTCTCCAGAGATAAGGTCTAATGTTCTTTGCCCGATGTAACTTCTTAAGGCATAGGAAAAGTGTTGTGAGTAGATCACGGTCAAAAACTGACTTTCACTGATTTCTCTGGCCTAAATAGTGTTGTGGTAGGTCAGGCTGACGGCCTTCGGGGTAGATCACTTTTGGTTTTATCTATCACTTTCGTTGAAGAAAGTCGTGACGTCAGAGGCCAGAGGAAATGGGCTAAGGAATTGGGTCGAGGCTCATGGTCATGAGCATCGACGAAATCGAGAGCTCAATTTATCGATTTGGGAAGCTATTTCGTCCCTAGTGTACTTAACATGATGATGGTAAATGACTTCTGTGAATGATTAGTGGTCAAATCAGGAATTTTGAGATGAGGGTAGTAGAGACATATTTAGAAAATCGTGGAAAGCAGTGCTCTTCTATAGCAGACTATCGACGCAGGTGTCTACCTATTAATGTAAACTCAGTTTTACAACTTAGGTATTATAGGTATAATAAATGGACCGACGACCTTATAAGGTTGCAGGAAGACGCTGGATGCAGGCCGCTACCAACGGGGCTATGTGGAAATCATTGGGGGAGGTCTGTGTTCTGCAGTGGACGTCCTGTGGCTGAAATGATGATGATGATGATAAAATGGTCCAAAACACTCAAGCAGCTGCTATTGCTTAACTCTACCAACCTCATTTTCTTGAATGCGACCCATTAAAAATACAAAAACAGTACAACAAATAAGGTTTAAATACTTAACCCATAACTAGCAGATAAATCGAGGTCATAACTTTAAAATTACACTGTAACGTCCCGAGATTACCAGTTTCAGTAAGTTTAAACAGTACAAAGACAAATAGGCACAATTTTGAAACATTTAAACATTTTATAATGATAACCAATGCTAAGAGAATTATTCATTACTCAAACACTGTCCAGAAAGTAAACGTTCCTACGACGTTGTAGGAAGCGATTGTAGTTACAGCTTTCGTTACAAACTTACGACCCCATCGCCTGTTAGCTAGATTTACGCGCGAATTACCATACATAGACACCCATTAACCACAGGTTAGATGTTGGTTTAGGCTCTTCCAAGGCTTTCTCATTAAAATTATTGGTCATTAGCTTTTGTTCCCTCTGTAAATACCTCCAGTAAGAGTCCTTCGAACCTCCTGATTGGACAGTTGGACACTGAACGAAAGGCTTCAAAATATAAACCCAGTTTATGTTCTTGATTCTGACGTTTTTGGTCAACAACCTCTTTTTCAAAGTCAAAGTCAAAATTTCTTTATTTGTATAAGTAGACTAAAAAATAATGCTTACAAATCGTCAAATATTTTGCTCTTAAGGAGACGACAAAAAGTGAGATCGAAATCTAGGTGCCAACTGCCAAGTTTAAATGTACTATTTATAACAACATAAAATAAATTAACTTAGGATAATAAATTGTAGCCTAAGGTCTAACTTGGCTAGTTCTCATAATTATACGAATTTCGTACACACTTTTGGATATAACGCTTCCTTCATGAAGCGAGTGCTGTACGGAACCCTACAAAATAGCTGTACTAGACAATACAGCACTTGACCACGTGGAAATTCAAAATGAGCGCTTGACCGTCTGAGCCAAGAAGGGTGTGCCTCACTTTCTCCCGTGATGGATGCACCACACTACTTTCGCCATCGCCACTGTTTGCTACATATATACATATATAGACCTCTGTAAGGTCATAGCCACTTGTCCGGAAGGTCAATGACATTTCGAATCGCAACTTTTACCAGTCTGCGCCTGCTCACGAAATTCGTTAACGAAATGCAAGTCGAAAGTTTTATGGGTAGAAAAGTTTACTTAGAAGCATGGGTTCGTTTAACATGTCTGTAGACTTTTAATGGTGATAGCTTAATATGTTTTAAGCGTAGTTCAAATAAACCTAGTTATCCAAATTTGGTATCGTATAAAATACTGAAATTCTTATCAAAATAGGCTAGGGAAAAGTTAATTGCGATTTCTGATGTTTTAAGTTCTTTCTCTGATCTTTAAGTATGCCTAGGTAACTTTATGTAAGCAGGTAGGTATAGGTACAATTTTAAAACCTTATCATACCTACCTACTTAAGATACATTTAATGAAACTTCATGTTTTTCTGTAACTTTATTGCTAGGTTTATTTTTGCTGGCGTTTTTGATTAGTTATTTTTAAATCCTTGTGCTGAATAAAAACTTCATAAAGGTATTCTAAGGTAGGTACTTTATCGTCTTATTTATTACTAGCTTTCCGCCCGCGGCTTCGCCCGCGTGGGATTTTGTCTGTCACAGAAAAACAATATCGCGCGCGTATTTGCTCACCGTTTAGACCTAATACCCTGGACTGGACTACGACAAACATTTTAAAACCAAAATCAACTCAATCGGCCCAGCCGTTCTCGAGTTTTAATCAGACTAACGAACATCAATTCATTTTTATTTATATACATAGATAGTAGATAGATTAGTTCAATACCTAAGGAATGCCCAATTGCCCAAGACAATAACAAGTTTTTCTACGCAAATAATATTTAAATCCTCAAGAAAAGTACAGTCATAATATTATGTACGTATTTAATTAATAAAAATAGTAAGTTTCAGCCAGCCAGTGCCTATAGGATGATACGTAAGTAGGTAGGTATAGCCTGACCAGGAACATAAAAACCCTCGCCATGTTGCGGAAAACTAATGGTACTAATTTCTTTTAATGGCAACAGTAACTGAAAACTTCATTGACATGTCACCTTGCATGTCAGTCTATTGCTGTCAAAGTGTAAACAAACTTTATTTTAAATGTGCGCAATTGGTTTTATGAATTAAATTGCTAAAATATTTTTATAGTCGTGAAAGAAAAGTGGTTCACAATGTGTTAAAGTATTTGTCGAAGAGAAATACTAAGGGTTCGGACAATATTTTCATTGAATAATGTTTCCGACAAAGGTTGTCAAATTGACTGACATGTTTATCGTATAGTACAGTCCACTATGAAAATTAGCTGTGGTTTGTTTCAACTACCTATTTTAAAATTTTGTCACTTTCTAAGTGTTGAATTTTATGGGATTGGGAAAGAAGAACCGAGTTTGAAGCGTTCATGAGCAGACATTGCAGTTGAATATTCAAGTTCTGAATTTGATTATTGATGAATAATAAAATAAATTCTACTAGCTCGATTGATGGTTTCATTTAATTTATTTAAATCAGGTTACCTTTAATAATATTTTTTCGTTAATTTATGAAAATATCAAATTAGCCCGTAATCCTGAATCCTGATACATAAAGTTAGCCTATTAATTTAACACAGGTACGACTGTACTCAGTGTTGCACTATCAAATGCGATTGACGCGCCTCTATGCCAGGGTTTTTATGTTCCTGGTCAGGCTATACGTACATTGCAAAAACAAACTTAAACGAAAAAATATTATGTGACCATGGGGAAAAAAATATGTAATTTATAATTTTTACATTATTTTATATTCTTTTACACAAATAAGTTAAAATTAAGAATAATAATATAGTCTTCTAAAATCAGTATTCATCATATTCAATTATTTGTAATTTGAAAATAGCGCCATCTATTAGTTCTCTTAAAAACTAAATTGCTTCATGAAGCTTACTCATAATACATATACATCATAATTCCTCAATAGATGGCGCTTAACACTTTTGTGCTGCTTTATCGACTTTTGATGTTGCCACATAACAATAATTAATTCTACTAGTGGTTTCTAAACTTTTGTTTCTTTGATTGTTATTGATCCTTAATCAACTAAAACAAATATGAAATGTGATTGGTTTTAAAACAATGAATTAAAGATTAATCAAAAATATCTTGATTACTTTTCAAAAGTTTCAAAGATTCACGAAAACTACCAACCAAAATACTTTCTATCCAAGGCCAATAAAAAGAAAAAAGTAATGTCAAAAATCTGCCATGATTTGGCGTTTACGCTGTCAATCGGTGTGCTTGTCAGTTTTGCAGCTAGAATCGGTGAAAATTGCAAAAATGTACCGAAAAGGCAATTTGCTGACACGAATCCTAATTTTATTCTCGTTCTGTAGTCCCATTTTCGCGGAATGGAATACACGGGACTATGTGCGACGGGAGCATTCCCTTACAAAGCCGTACCAGGGTGAGTGACCTGTGACATGGTTGACTTTGATCTTCGTAGCAATTGTGCAGAAATTACCTATTTGATTAAAACAATTGTGGTTTATTTGCAGGGAGTGGAATGTCGGTTCCTTACTGGGACTTTTTAGGTAGCACAATAGTTACTTCTAATTACGTTCGGTTGACTCCCGACCTGCAATCGAAGTCGGGCGCTCTTTGGAACACCGCCGTGAGTACTCAAGAGAGTCAATAATTAAATATTTACCTAGAGCATGCGTTATCAAGCAATAAATCGGCGAACTTGACTAATCACACAAGTCATTTTTGACCAATATTTCTTATCAATCTTCAAGAATGTCCTACAAATTGCTTGCTTTATTGATAAATTGTTCCACAAATAGATACTAATGTACAATAATAGTTTTGGCGTCATACCTAAATGACATCTTACAATATGCTCAATTAATTGTATGCAAATGCTCGTCTTGAGTATTGAATTGACAATCTCATATACCAACTTTGTTGTACGTACATAACCTAGTTTGCTTTGTAATTTGTGTTAATGGGTGATTATGTGCTCATTATTCTGGTCATAATCAATTAAACAGCAGTATCAATAAATTAACTAATATTGTTACCCAGTTAGATTTGAATGATGAATCATAGATTGTAAGATACTGAATTTATTCATCCGTGTTAGTGCATTTTTTTTACAAAACTAAATAATTAATCAGTTCAGTGGTATCTGCATTTTAAATAACTCATGCATGTCAACTTTTTGAAAAGTTTTTGAACATAGATTTTATTACTAAACCATGAAGTTTCATTATTATGACTGTATCGTGACTGAATCATTATTTTCTTCATAAAAACTTATTCCAATATTTGTAGTTTTAACATAATTTTAAAAAGCTGTGAATTTATAAAAGCTATCTAATAAGGTGAGCATAGATAGACTAGAAAATTTCTATGTAATGTAACGTTCTTGCGAATAGTACAATGCAGGTAAAATGTATGACGTTTAGTTAGTGACAGGGTGAAACACTAGACATTTCATAGAGCGGCTCGTTGTTCTGTTACAAGTAAATGCTCTAGTCTGTATTCACCTTTACTTACCACATCTGCATCACTGTAATCATGAAAAAACACATTTGTATGATTTTTCAAAATGGCATATTACATTTTATTTGATCAAATGTTTTCTGGCAAATGTTTCCTATTATTATATCCTATACATATGTATAGCATGACATATGTATGCATGTTACTGATCATTTAACATATTTATTTGTAATTACATGCAAAAATTGTTATGTAGCTTGTGATAGTACCTACTTACAGTTTAGCAATTAAACTTGGTATGTGTAACTAACCAGAACAGCTCAAGGTTGTAAAAATGAGAGCAATGTCAAAACAGTACTTAAAAACATGTAACTAAGGTCTACTATTGCACGCAGCCATGTTTTTGTTATCACTATGAATTCATGGTCCATTAAATCTTCACCATGAAATTCAAATTACGTGGTTGATGTTAATAGCAAAGTAAATAGGGCTTTACGATCTTTAAAAATGTTCCAAAAAGGTAAAATTTTGTTAATATGTTTTTTCCTTCAAATAGATTTATATTTCTCAAATCTCACAAATAATTTCCTCAAATACAATACAATGTTTAAGCTTAACCTATGCCCCTATTTCACCAGACCGTTCCCACCAGGCCCCCCGGTACATACGGATGTGGCGCCGCCATAGTGCCCTAATGAGTCAGGGCTCTTACTCAATGCTTTTACAAAATTCACTAGACATCACTGTATAATGTCAAAATGTTTCGTTCGTTCGATTCAGCCGAAAGATGTCCACTGCTGGACAAAGGCCTCCCCCAAGGTTTTCCACAAAGACCGGTCCTGCGCCGCCCGCATTCAGGCATCTCCCGCGACCTTCACCAGATCGTCGGTCCACCGAATGGGCAGGCCTTCCGGCTTGTAGTTGCCACTCGAGAACTTTTCTGTCTCAGCGGCCATCAGCTCTACGAGCTATGTGCCCCGCCCACTGCCACTTGATTTTAGCGATTCTGCGAGCTATGTCAGTCACTTTGGTTCTCTGCGTTCTTCATTTCTGATTCCATCACGCAGGGAAACTCCGAGCATAGCCCGCTCCATCGCCCGCCAAGGTGGTGTACCACACTTATACAATAAATTAGTTCACTAGACATCACTGAGTAAAATGTCAGGATATTCACCATCATCCCATTACTTTCCAGCCTTGCTTCACTCGCAACTGGGAGCTTCAAGTTCAGTTCAAAGTCCACGGTCGCGGCAAGGATCTTTACGGCGATGGGTTCGCGCTGTGGTACGTGCGGGACCGAATGCAGCAAGGGCCTGTGTTCGGTAGCAAGGATTACTTCTACGGACTGGCTATTATATTGGACACTTACAGCAACCATAACGGTGCTCACAATGTAAGCAGATTTTATTTACTTAAGGATTTGATCACCCAGGTGATCAAAGTGGAATAGACCGATATACAGACCTGTTAAGAACTTTACAAATTGCTTGTTTTACAAGTTTCTTCTAGCAGATTCGAGCAATTCAGTTAGTCACAAATAATAATCTATCACTTGTCTTATCATATACCCAAACTAAATGAAAGAATTACATTCATGGTGATTTTTATTGCACAAATTACTAAGTTTAGCATGAGGAATTAATGGGAATATTAGTTTTTTTTNTTGTAAAAATGAGAGCAATGTCAAAGTAGTACTTAAAAACATGCGACTAAGGTCTACTATTGCACGCAGCCATGTTTTTGTTATCACTATGAATTCATGGTCTATTAAATCTTTACCATGAAATTCAAAATACGTGGTTGATGTTAATAGCAAAGTAATTCTGGCTTTATGATCCTTTGAATGTTCCAAAAAGGTAAAATTTTGTTAATAAAATAAAAAGAAATGTTTTTACCTTCAAATAGATTTATATGTCCTCAAATCTCATAAATAATTTCCTCAAATACAATACAATATTTGAAGCTTAAACCTATGTCCCCATTTCACCAGACCGTTGAATCCGGCCCCCCGGTATATACGGATGTGGCGCCTCCATAGTGCCCTAATGAGTCAAGCAAGACCCAATGCTTATACAAAGTTCACTAGACATCAATGTATAATGTCAAAATATTTCGTTCGTTCGATTCAGCTGAAAGATATCCACTGCTGGACAAAGGCCTCCCCCAAGGTTTTCCACAAAGACCGGTCCTGCGCCGCCCGCATCCAGGCACCTCCCGCGACCTTCACCAGATCGTCGGTCCACCGAATGGGCAGGCCTTCCGGCTTGTAGTTGCCACTCGAGAACTTTTCTGTCTCAGCAGCCATCAGCTCTACGAGCTATGTCCCCCGCTCACTGCCACTTGATTTTGGCGATTCTGTGGGCTACGTCAGTCACTTTGGTTCTCTGCGGATCTCCTCATTTCTGATTCGATCACGCAGGGAAACTCCGAGCATAGCCCGCTCCATCGCCCGCCAAGGTGGTGTACCACACATACAATAAATTAGTTCACTAGACATCACTGAGTAAAATGTCAGGATATTCACCATCATCCCATTACCTTCCAGCCTTGCTTCACTCGCAACTGGGAGCTTCAAGTGCAGTTCAAAGTCCACGGTCGCGGCAAGGATCTTTACGGAGATGGGTTCGCGCTGTGGTACGTGCGGGACCGAATGCAGCAAGGGCCTGTGTTTGGTAGCAAGGATTACTTCTATGGACTGGCTATCATACTGGACACTTACAGCAACCATAACGGTGCTCACAATGTAAGTAGATTTTACTAGATATACAGATTGATTAAGAACTTTACAAACTGTTTTGCAAGTTTCTTCTTCCAGCAGATACGATCAATTCCGTTAATCACAAATCTGTCGCTTGTCTCGTCCTAAAAACTAATTGAAAAAATTACATACAATTTGTATTGCACAAATTAATAAGTCCCGTTAACCCCTCATTATTATTATAGCTTTACATTCCACATCACAGTTTTATTTCATTAATTCTTATTTCCTTAGTTTGTTGCCCCACTTGGGTAAAAGCCTCCCCCAGTTAACCCCTCATTCTAAGCTAAATATGTTTTTGTTATAAGTGGGCTCACCACAATAGTCGAGCGGCGCGGGCATCGAGGTTCATTCGACAAACCCGCGTTCCAGAATAATGACGTCACTAGCTAGTATTGCCATACAAAATCTATGGGAGAGTGTCGTTTTGTCAATTTTAAAAAACCGGCCAAGTGCGAGTCGGGCTCGCGCACAAAGGGTTCCGTAGCAGCAAATATAACCAAAATTACAGTTAAATCAACCTATCTCAAAAACTATAAGAGATACTTTGATCAAACCAAAAATCGTTGAAAGAGTTAATTAGCATGCATCACCTCTATTTTTTTTAGAATTTTATACCCCGTAGTTATAAAAATAGAGGGGGGGGGACATACTTTTTACGACTTTGAGAGCTGATATCTCAAAAACCGTTCACTTTAAGAAAAATGTTTTTTAGAAAACTTTATATCATTTTAAAAGACCTTTCCATTGATACCCCACACGGGTATGTACATCGAAAAAAAATTTTCATCCCTCAGTTACATGTATGGGGGGCCCCACCCCCAATTCTTTTTTTTACTATTTAGTGTCATAATTTTGTAGCGGTTCATACAACACATATTCCCATCAAATTTCATCACTGTAGTACTTATAGTTTCCGAGTAAATCGGCTGTGACAGACGGACAGACGGACAGACGGACAGACGGACAGACGGACATGACGAAACTATAAGGGTTCCGTTTTTGCCATTTTGGCTACGGAACCCTAAAAAGTATATCATTAATTGGTGGTGGCAAATACCTTATTAAAGACCATGCTCCTAATGATGATACTGATAGTCATAAATGTTTATTGCATCATGATGATGATGATGACCGCCATTATACCTTCCAGCATCAACACCCATATATCTCAGCGATGATCAACAACGGGTCCATGCACTACGACCACGACCGCGACGGCACGCACACACAACTCGCCGGCTGCGAGGCCAAGTTCCGCAACTTCAACCACGACACGCATCTGTCCATCGTCTACAAGGACGACACGCTCGTCGGTGAGTGGCCAAGTTCCGCAACTTCAACCACGACACGCATCTGTCCATCGTCTACAAGGACGACACGCTCGTCGGTGAGTGGCGGAGATCCATTGTAGGCCCGGCTTCCATCATTGCGGAGCGGAGACGAGAGGAGACGTAGCATGAAAACATGCGGCAAACATAGAATGCTGTTTTTGGTGAGTGGCGGGAGATTCGCTCTATAGCTCTAGCGCGTTTTAGTGTCTGAGATAGGGGAGAGCGTTTTTGAAAAGTCAAACGTCAGCGAGACTTCAGATTTGTATGCTCTGTTACGTCATAATATGTCAATGTCACCCTGCCCTTCATGGGCGTACCCAGGGGCGGGCAAAACGGGGGCAGCTGTCTCCCTCTGGAAATCACACAGAATCGCTTTAAAGGAGCTAAGGCGATCGACGATCTGACTTATAGAAAAATTTGTCTGCCTGACACTTCTCCTCTCTTCTCCGCTCGATCCATTTCTACCTAAGCAGAGCGGAATGGAGATGTGGAAATAATGAAATCTGATTGGTTATTCAAAACACTTCTCCGCTCCGCTCTGCTCCGCCTTGGTGGATACTTGACGATCAACAACGGCTCCTTGCACTACGACCACGACCGCGACGGCACGCACACGCAGCTCGCCGGCTGCGAGGCCAAGTTCCGCAACTTCAACCACGACACGCATCTGTCCATCGTCTACAAGGACGACACGCTCGTCGGTGAGTGGCGGAGATCCATTGTAGGCCCGGCTTCCATCATTGCGGAGCGGAGACGAGAGGAGACATAGCATGAAAACATGCGGTTTTTGGTGAGTGACGGGAGATTCGCTCTATATGTAGATTTAGCGCGTAAGTATCTGAGATAGGGGAGCGAGGTGTTTTTGAGAAGTCAAACGTCAGCGAGACTTCAGATTTGTATGCTCTGTTACGTCATAATATGTCAATGTCACCCCGCCCTTCATGAGCGTACCCAGGGGCGGGCAAAACGGGGGCAGCTGTCTCCCTCTGGAAATCACACAGAATCGCTTTAAAGGAGCTAAGTCGATCGACGATCTGACTTATAGAAAAATTAGTCTGCCTGACACTTCTCCTCTCTTCTCCGCTCGATCCATTTCTACCTAAGCAGAGCGGAATGGAGATGTGGAAATAATGAAATCTGATTGGTTATTCAAAACACTTCTCCGCTCCGCTCTGCTCCGCCTTGGTGGAAACTTGACGATCAACAACGGCTCCTTGCACTACGACCACGACCGCGACGGCACGCACACGCAGCTCGCCGGCTGCGAGGCCAAGTTCCGCAACTTCAACCACGACACGCATCTGTCCATCGTCTACAAGGACGACACGCTCGTCGGTGAGTGCCGGGAGATTCACATAGCTCTAGCGCTTGACTGAGTCAGTATCTGAGGTAAAGGAGGGGGTTTTTGTGACGTCAACGTCAGCGAGACTTGAGATGTGCTTCAAGTTTATAGATGACCCACGCTGAACTGTCCCACCAAACTCAATGACAGGGGGGCGCTACCATCGTTCAACTATATGGTTTCCAACATGGCAAAAATCTGAACCAGCGATCCGGTATTGACGGTGGCGCCCCACTGTCAATGTCATCGACAGGACAGTCCAGTATTTTGGAACTATATATGCTCTGTCACGTCATAATTATGTCAATGTGACCCCTCCCGTCATGGGCGTACCCAGGGTGAGCAGATGCCCACAGAGTTGCTTTGTTGGAGGAGCGAAATCAAACGATCTGACCAAAAAAAAACTGACTCTCTCACCAGTTGGTGTTGGTGCCACTTCCTAGTGTAATGTCAATGTCACTTGCTAATGGCGAGTGACAGTGGCGCTAACTGGTGAACGCTGAAGCGGTAGGACTACCGCATTTGCACTCACCAGAATGGCGCCACTGTAGAATAGGCTGTAACTGTAAGGCTCAGTTGCACCATCTTACTTTATCAGTTCTTGTATGGAGTTTGACCGACTTTTGAAGTTTGTTAAAGTTAGTAAGATGGTGCCTTAGTATAAAAACTATGGCCCTCATTATTCCCTGCATCTTCGGAGAACAATTCTCCCACAGCTGTCTAAATAAAAATATAACACCAATTCTTTCTATCCCCAGTATCAACGGACCTCGAAGGCAAGAACGCGTGGAAGGAATGCCTCAGGGTTGAGAACGTGTTACTGCCCACCGGCTACTTCTTCGGGGCGTCAGCCACCACTGGGGACCTGAGCGACAACCATGACATCATCTCGGTTAAGATGTACGAACTGGATCTGTTGGAAACGGTAAGAATTGTCACTTGTTTATAAATAGAATTTTGTTTTTTATTTTTTTTATCCACAACGAGGAAGCTCTTGGCCTGTATCTCACCTGATGGTAAGTGACGATCAGGCCGAAGGTGGAAGCGAACTTCACCCGGAATCCTCAACCACGGAGGAACTGGCTATCTTACCTCTAACTGCCGGAACACAACAATGCTGTTAACATTGTTGTTATGGCGACAGACTTAGGTAAGATGGTGGTAGCAAGCCAGGCGGACTTAGAACAAGCCCTACCACCAACCAAACTTAAGTGGCAGTGGGCGGGGCACACACTCGTCGAAGAAAGTTATCGAGTGGCGACCACGGGCTGGAAGGCAGCGGATGCGGGCCTCCGACTAGGTGCACCGATGATCTAGTGAAGTTTGCGGAAAGCACCTGGATGCAGGCAGCGATTAACAATTTTTCGTTACGTTTTTAGCTTGTTGAACTTTGATCTTAAGTCATTTCAATGGCATGCTACATTATACTTTGGCTATACATACAGTAAGGTGTAGAATTAGAAGCTTCGCTCTACAAGTCTACGTGAACATGAGTTCTGATAACTTTTTCACAGTAGGTACGAGCCATACGGTTCGTCTTGCCAACATTTTACATGTAAATTTTTTTGTGGGATTTTTCTTACTCAATTCAAAATCTCGTCCCAAATGACGTCCGTTTCCGTGTATTATTTGATACATACCAAACATACGAACTATCTACTGACTTAAACCTATTCTCTCTCTTCCAGCAAAACAAAGATGAAGACAGATCTCAGATAATCCCATCAGCAGCGTCCTTCGAAGCGCCACGGGAGAGAGTGGAAGACGCCAAACCCGCTATGTCTGGAGTCAAAACCTTCCTATACATGATGGCGATAGCAATAGTAGTATGCGTTATAGTTGTACTGGGCATTATGTGGTATCAGAAGAGACAGGAACAGTCCAGAAAACGATTGTACTGATGGCTATGGTACATAAAAAATATGGTACGTATTGGTGGTAGGGTGACCAAACTATATGGCGCAAGTACACTATGCGGGAAATTGATTGAGATGTAGTGTAAACACGCACTTCGGTTAGTTTCGCCGTGCGTCGCCCATACTTCCCTTCGTCTTGGATAATAATTTGTCGCATAGTGTACATGCACCAATACAGTCGTAATATAGGTTTGGTAGGAATCCCTTTTTTGTGGTGGGCTNAAGATGTTGAGCTGTGCGTAGCTGTCAGTCTATGCTGTCTATGAAGCCGCCGCCGCTGTCAAATTCTATAGAAAAATTAGTCCGCCCGACACTTCTCTCATCTCCGCTCGATCCATGTTCACCTAAGCGGAGCGGAATGGAGATTTAGAAATAATGAAATCTGATTAGTTATTCTAAATACTTCTCCGCTCCGCTCTGCTCCGTCTTGGTGGAAACCGGACCTCAGTTCTGTTGGTGAGTAACTTATCCTAGTTTCCCGTAGCACCATCACCTGTACATCTCAGCGATGACCAAGGGCTCTCTTAAAGTCCGGTCGCCTATCACGAAGAATTTCGTCCAATGACCCCAAGCTACCCATCATTATCGCTCGCGCGTAATTATGTTACAAACGAAGCTTGCTTAAATGAAGCAGCGTTTAATAGAGGTCTGTCTGATTGGTTCGTGTGTGATCCTGTGCGTCCACCCGCACTGTGAGACCTCATAGTAATGTTTGTGAATACGGACGTAAATGTCTGTAGTCTTATCAAGATAAAATATAACTCAAATTTTTCCATCCCCAGTATCAACGGACCTCGAAGGCAAGAACGCGTGGAAGGAATGCCTCAGGGTTGAGAACGTGTTACTGCCCACGGGCTACTTCTTCGGGGCGTCAGCTACCACTGGGGACCTGAGCGACAACCATGACATCATCTCCGTCAAGATGTATGAACTGGATCTGTTGGAAACGGTAAGAATTGTCCCTTGTTTATAAATAGAATTTTGTTTTTTATTTTTTTTTATCCACAACGAGGAAGCTCTTGGCCTGTATCTCACCTGATGGTAAGTGACGATCAGGCCGAAGGTGGAAGCGAACTTCACCCGGAATCCTCAACCACGGAGGAACTGGCTATCTTACCTCTAACTGCCGGAACACAACAATGCTGTTAACATTGTTGTTATGGCGACAGACTTAGGTAAGATGGTGGTAGCTAGCCAGGTGGACTTAGAACAAGCCCTACCACCAACCAAACTTAAGTGGCAGTGGGCGGGGCACACAGCTCGTCGAAGAAAGTTCTCGAGTGGCGACCACGGGCTGGAAGGCTGTTGCAGGCCCCCGACTAGATGGACCGATGATCTAGTGAAGTTTGCGAAAAGCACCTGGATGCAGGCAGCGATTAACAATTTTTCGTTACGTTATTAGTTTGTTGAACTGTGATCTTAAGTCATTTCAATGCCATGCTACATTATACTTTGGCTATACATACAGTAAGGTCTAGAATTAGAAGCTTGGCTCTACAAGTCTACATGATCAAGAGATCTGATAACTTTTTCACAGTAGCTACGAGCCATACGGTTCGTCTTGCCAATTGGGATTCTTGGGATTTTTCTTACTCAATTCAAAATCGCTCGTCCCAAATGACGTCCGTTTCCGTGAATATTTGATACACAAACAGACACGACTCAATATCTACTTACTTAAACCTATTCTGTCTCTTCCAGCAAAACAAAGATGAAGACAGATCGCAGATAATCCCATCAGCAGCGTCCTTCGAAGCGCCAAGGGAGAGAGTGGAAGACGCCAAACCCGCTATGTCTGGAGTCAAAACCTTCCTATACATGATGGCGATAGCAATAGTAGTGTGCGTCATAGTTGTACTGGGCATTATGTGGTATCAGAAGAGACAGGAACAGTCCAGGAAAAGATTGTACTGATGGCTATGGTACATAAACAATATGGTACGTATTGGCAGTGGTAGGGTGACCAAACTATATGGCGCAAATACACTATGCGGGAAATTGATTGAGATGTAGTGTAAACACGCATTTCGGTTAGTTTCGCCGTGCGTCGCCCATACTTCCCTTCGTCTTGGATAATTTGTCGCATAGTGTACATGCACCAATACAGTCGTAATATAGGTTTGGTAGGAATCCCTTTTTTGTGGTGGGCTAGATAGTTGTTACTTTTATTTTTTCTGGAGGCTTTCAAACAATCTGGTCACCCTACCTAATTGACCACTAAAGATTATGTTACGAACTAAATTAACGAGTGTGATAAAATCAACGTAATAAGTATGCGTATTTATTTTATGAAATTGTAATTTAATTTTAAAATTACGTCATGAACGACATCAAAGTCAAAACATTCCTAATTAACGTAAAACAAAATTAATTACAAATCTAACAATGGCAATATTGAAAAAAGTATAAAAGCAATGTTGAATATATTTTTCACGCTACAAACAATTTAGCTGGCTGGTGTCAGAATGTTACTAAAATTTAATTAAATATTAAACAATAGAAATCTCTTTGAAAAGTTTGAAATAGTCATTGATTGCATTTAATTACAACAATATGGGAGGTTTTAAATAATTTATTTATTAGATAAAAATGTAGATGGTCCTTTGGTGTCAACAAATTAGACATAGTTAAAAATAATACTGCCCAAATTTTGATAAAACAATATAAACAATTAATTCTAAATAATACTTAGATAGTAGATATACAGCAATTTACACGCCTTAGGCCCGTTTTCCATCAAAGGAGAGGAGATGTCTTTGAATAATCAATCAAATTTCGTTATTTTCACGTCACCTCTCCGCTCCATTTTGGTTTAGCATCCTGATTCCTTATACAAACACTTCTCTCCGCTCAGCTTTGGTGGAAACCCGGCCTTACTCTAAATTAGTGTTAGATTTTTGCGAGCAGTAAAAAATGCACTATAAATAAGAGACTCGAGAAACGTCATCATATTACGTCACAAGTTGTCAATCTGACGTGAAGTTTTGTTAATCTTGAATTTAAGTCATCCATTTTATTAAAAATAAAAATCCCTTTACTGTATAATATTATTACGTAATAAATTGCCATACAATTTCTCCACAAATCAGCTAGCTTATAAAATCAATATTTATGCACATGCACTCCCTGTATTTCTACTATACTATGAACTTTTAAAAACTACACTTTTAGATAGCTTACTACTGTGCACGATTACATAAAAAAAAACTTAGAATTCTAGATTTTGATTTCGATCTTCACTAATTTTCTTATCATCAGATAAAAATATAGACAATAATCTTCATATCATTATTTTTATCGATAAAAAATATTTAATCAGAGTTTTTAGTACAATCAGAGTCAAATAATTCGTGACACCCAAAATAGCTAATAAGTTCGCAACTTTTTTTTTTTTTTTTTTTTTTTCAAATTGGAATAATGTATTGTCAGCTTTTTGGCCACTTTGGGTGTCACGTACTATTTGACGTTAACTGTACGTTGATGCTTGTAAGATGATGCTATATTGACTAGAAAATGCCAATAATTAATTATTCCTTTCTGTTTCCTTCCCAAAGTATGCTTCTTTTATTATAAAAACGCTAGATTATCCGAAAAATATATTTCTATAAACTGTAGTTAGATGTTAAATCAAAGATCTTATTTTTTACGGTGGAATGTATTTCTGTATGAGTTTTAGTTTGTAAAACCATTAGTCATTAGGTTTGTTATTTGATTTGCCCATAATGCCTCTCTTTATTTACTCTAAAGGTGTAACTTCGGTTTATGCGACATCAGTGTAACACTAGAGATTAGTGTTGTGTGTCTATCGATAATCTAATTTATCGATAGAAAATTTCACTTAAAGTAGAAAGAAAAAACTCGCACATGCATAAATCGAAGCAAAACCAACGAGTTTTAATCACATAGATATAATACACCTCTTATGTCTACTGCAGCTACGCTTTTTGTCGCCGTTTTTAGGTCAAATATTTAGCCAAACAATGCAAACTAATATCGATACCTCTGGGCTCAAAGGTCGTAAAGGACAAAATACCGAAAATGAGTTATTTATACAGTTTTACTCAGAATTTAATTCTCTATCGATCTGTATATTTAGTTTGTCGAAATTCCCAAAAAAAGTGCCTTTACGACCCATCANATATAATTCATATTATGCAATACAATAAGAGGTATTTTTTCACAGTTGAAAAGAGTGAATTTATTAAATCAATTTACAACAGTTAGACATTGTTAATATGTATGTGAAATATTTTTATGTTCCTGCTGCGAATCGGCATTCTTTTCTTTTTATTTTAAGTGTAGTAATGACATTGCATAATTATTTATTGTTGCAATAAACACTGGTAGGGCATGGCTATAGTCTTCTTTTGTCTTTTTGAACTTAATGCATAGAAGTAAAATTAAGTGAGGTATTTGTTANGGAATCCTTACTAAATGCGCCAAATTATGACGTCACTTGCCATACTCGCGTAGTACAATTTTCAGTACAGTTAGTTTAAACTAGGCAAAATTTTTATTTTGAAAGTTTTTTTGGGAATAATGTTTTTTTTTTCATCCAAGCTGGAGCAGCTGGTTTTGTAATTTTGATAACAATTAAGAGAAGCATTATTCAGGGTTACATAATAAAAAAAAATGGAAAAAGTTAAGATTTGTGGCAACACGAGTAAAAAGACCGTCACCGGGAGTAGATTTTTTTGTTTTTTTTAAATGCCTATTATTTTGACAATATGACACATAGATTTATTTTTTATTTTTTTGATAACCAGCATAACTTGCCTCAACACCCAGTTCCGGCTTGACGTTGCATTACGGGACACCCTATATACATTTACAAATATTACACATATACACAATTATTATTATTTTAATACGGGTATTATTTTATTATGTAGCATCTTTAATTTACAATAATTATGTTTATTCAACAAATGTTTGCACATTATTATTATTGTTATATACAGGATAGCACTGCTCGCTCACTGCTCAGTTCACTTTTTATTTCCTTGTAATATTTATGTGCCATTTCTGTCTTTTTTTCTGTGTACATTCTCTGTCATGACATAAGTGATGTTCATCGTAATAAATTTTTCTTTCTTTCTTTAAACGCCACTTATATTTGGGAAAACGCACTTTACTTTATCTATAGGTACTAATATTATAAAGAGGAAAACTTTGTTTGGTTGTAATGAATAGGCTCAAAAACTAATGGACCGTTTTTAAAAATTCTTTCACCATTTGAAAGCTAGGTACATTACTCACGAGTAACATAGGCTAAATCTCGATAAAATGTAAGTATGAAATGAAACGCCTCCAATTCCATAGTCTGCTGGCGCGCCAGCAGACGATGGAATTGGAGGCGTTTGGACGATGGAGGCCCCTGGAGAACAGGGGCCCCAAGCACGTGCTTGTAGTGCTTATACGTTAATCCGCCACTGTCAATAATAAACACGTCGCGTTAAGACCCGTGTCTTTCTATTTTAGTTAAAATCAAATCATTAAGTGCACTCTAACCCCCTTACTAATAAAAAGTAACACAGTTGTTGAACACTGTTTTAAATGACATTTCCATACTAAACGTCACTTTAAAACACTGTTCAACGAGTGTGTAAGTTTTATTAGTAAGGGGGTTAAACTGGAATTCATAAACTTTGTTATTTTTATTTAAAGATACTAAAAATACATGCCCTTACAACTATAACATTTTAAGCTTATATGCTGTTCCTTTTCCTGATTCTCTATGTAGAGAGGAAGGTAATAAATCTATTTGCAATCACGTATCGATATTGTAGGTACACATTAATNAGTTGCTCTGTTTATAGACCTACTGAGGTACTTTTACCTTTTTGTTTAAGTTTGTATACAAATGATAGAAACTTTGTATCATACTCTACCAACAAACTTTGAAGTGATAAGTAGGTTATATCCATGCCTTGCGTTTATTGATTTATGTACGAGTGTTGTTTAATGTGTGTTTTTAATTTAATAAAATTTATAAACTTTTCAATGGGTTTTTATTTTGTCCCAATCAATCATTAGCTTTAAAACAGCAACACTAATCGCAAACATTTAGGATGAGCCTACTTTAAAACTTGGAGCCCGCCTATTAGTGCACAGTCGAGGGGCGTGAAAGTATACCTCACCTCAAGCCATCCTTATGCAATGATACTGCTAAAAGAAACATTAGAGCAAAGGTATCGTATTTCGAAATTACAACTTTCACGTTTTGTTACATATCTATTGGTTTAAAACAGGCTCTATGAAGATGTCCAATACTAAAGCAGAATCCTCATGTCATGTATGCCTCAAAATAAGCTTCAAACTCGAAAGCCTAAGCTCAAAGCAATGATCCTGCTAAAGTTAATGGCTGAAAGGACTTAAACCAGAGCCCCGATTACGGTAACTTTTAACGTCTACAATCCAGACACGCTTCATCGATTCTGCGATACGATTGGTCAACAAAACAGCTGACGTACGCTGTTGATTGAACGACCAATCGTATCGCAGAATCGAGAAGCGTGTCTGGATTGTAGACGTTAAAAGTTACCGTAATCGGGGCCCAGCATAAGGTTAATAACTCTATGGGGCTCAGGGCCGTAAAACGCTTTATAAAAAAACGGCCATAAAAAAATTATGCAAACGTCTACCCAAATTGAAATGGTGAGGTACCATTAATACATAAATCGATTATTCATAAACTGTAACTCGATATTTTTACTCAATTTGCTTTTCTTTTTGATTCTATTTAATAGTTCAAAGCTATATTTTTGGATGAATTAATATTTATTCACAATAAAATCAAATCATATAAGATTTTAAACTTCCGTGTGGAACACGGAAGTTTCGTGCCGTGCGTGAGTACTTACACAATGTAACTCATTAATAAACACGTCGGGTTAAAACCCGTGTCTTTCTATTTTGCTTATAATCAAATCATTTTTATGTGTTTACATACAGGAGTTACACGTTTTTTAGTGTCTCTATCTTCCACCATAGTTCTATCGCTAGATTGTTATGTTAAAAAACAAACACACAATAAGATACTAAAAAACATGCCCTTACAACTATAACGTTTTAAGCTTATCTGCTGTTCCTTTCCCTGATTATCTTTGTAGAGAGGAAGGTAATAAATCTATTTGCAATCACGTATCGATATAATTATCGATTATCGCTTTTCTCGAATGACAGTGAATGTGGATTGTATTTGTGGTTAGGTTACTATTTCACAATTTTCACATCACTATTATTGAAAAAAGTATCGGCGTCTTGTTGTCTTCGCGATTGTGGATAATTTTCCGATTTTTATTTTATTCAGTTCTTTGAAGTAATTCCGGTTCAGAATTAATTAATAAAACCTATGATTAACTAATTTTATACCAGAATGGATGTTAAATCGTATCTGCATTCTTGGTGTGCCAAGAAAAGCTTGAACCCTGTTTTTGATGTTCGTGCTACTGGTATGTGAATTTCAAATGTATTGATCTAAACAACTTCTTATTCCTGTGTAAATAGAATAATTAATGTCGCTAAGCCACTTAATTAGCTTTGTTTATTTTGTATTATTTTAGGTTAGGCATAAAAATAACCTCAAACTAGCTCAAAAAACCAAATGAATATACGATTTTCTTCGACAGTAACAAAGCCCACATTTGGAATAGATTCTTAGATGCTATTAAATGCTTTATTCTTTTCGAGATCATAACTAATCTTAACTGTATAATATGATCATCATGAAGGGTGTAATAGAGTACAACAAGAAAATTTGTTGATTTTAGGTCCAAAGCACCGTCAACGTTTCCTCTGCGAGGTGCGAGTGGACGGTATAACCTATGTCGGTGCTGGTAACTCTACAACCAAGAAAGAGGCTCAGTTCAACGCTGCTAGGGACTTCGTTAACTACCTGCAGCGGACTGGGCAAGTTGACGGCAATGATCTACCGGAAGAAGTCCGAGTGAAACAAGAAAATGAGGGGCCGCAAATGGGCCCTGGTCCTGGGCCAGACATGCATAATGAACCACAGAGGAGACCAGTTTTTCAGGTAAAAATAAATAAAATCTCTTTTGAAGGTGATCTATTCAATAAGGTTTTACCAAAAGCTTAGCTAGAGCTGGAAATTATTTAGAAATTGAGATCCTTAGCTCTTACATTTATTATTTTCATTATTATCTGCCTTATTTCATGAAGCATTGTAACATTTTTACCAGGGTTCGAGGATATACAATATGTAACGGAAACACCGTCCGATCCATTAAGGTGTTAATAGGTATCGAGTTAAGATTCCATTTGTGTAATAATTTTCATAAAATATTATTAAAAAAATACCCCATGAAAAATAAATACAAAATTTCCAAAAATAAAAATGCTTACATGGCAATCCGAACGGCAGTGTAGAGGGTACGCGGGAGGGGTAGAGATGCGCCGGCACGCGTAGCGACGTCATAAGGTCATGACCCCCAGCGTCTTAAAGAAAGCCGCGCGNCATCGGGTATATAAAGTTAACGTACAGATATAATTTTCGATTATCGATTCTCTCGAATTACTACCAAATGTGGTGTTACAATTTCTCAATTTTCACCTGATTTTCACATCACTATTATTGTAAAAAGTGTCGGCGTCTTGTTGTCTTCGCGATTGTGGATAATTTTTCGATTTTTATTTTATTCATAGTTCTTTGAAGTAATTCCGGTTCAGAATTAATTAATAAAACCTATGATTAACTAATTTAATACCAGAATGGATGTTAAATCGTATCTGCATTCTTGGTGTGCCAAGAAAAGCTTGAACCCTGTTTTTGATGTTCGTGCTACTGGTATGTGAATTTCAAATGTATTGATCTAAACTTCTTATTCCTGTGTAAATAGAATAATTAATGTCGCTAAGCCACTTAATTAGCTTTGTTTATTTTGTATTATTTTAGGTTAGGCATAAAAATAACCTCAAACTAGCTCAAAAAACCAAATGAATATACGATTTTCTTCGACAGTAACAAAGCCCACATTTGGAATAGATTCTTAGATGCTATTAAATGCTTTATTCTTTTCGAGATCATAACTAATCTTAACTGTATATGATCATCATGAAGGGTGTAATAGCCTACAACAAGAAAATTTGTTGATTTTAGGTCCAAAGCACCGTCAACGTTTCCTCTGCGAGGTGCGAGTGGACGGTATAACCTATGTCGGTGCTGGTAACTCTACAACCAAGAAAGAGGCTCAATTCAACGCTGCTAGGGACTTCGTTAACTACCTGCAGCGGACTGGCCAAGTTGACGGCAATGATCTACCTGAAGAGGTCCGAGTGAAACAAGAAAATGAGGGGCCGCAAATGGGCCCTGGTCCTGGGCCAGACATGCATAATGAACCACAGAGGAGACCAGTTTTTCAGGTAAAAATAAATAAAATCTCTTTTGAAGGTGATCTATTCAATAAGGTTTTACCAAAAGCTTAGCTAGAGCTGGAAATTATTTAGAAATTGAGATCCTTAGCTCTTACATTTATTATTTTCATTATTATCTGCCTTATGTCATGAAGCATTGTAACATTTTTACCTTAGCATGGTATTCATTTAATTATCTTTGACGTTTTAGGAGGGTATGGGTCCAGACAGCATGGGTCAAGCGTACCATGCGTATGGTGGTCAAAATCAAAACTTTACGTACATGGATCGTCTTCAACAGCAAAAGAATGTTGAGGAAGCAGAAGACTTGGATGTGAATGCAAGCTTGCATGGAAACTGGACGATGGAAAATGCTAAGTCTAAGCTCCATCAGTTCATGCAAGTCAACAAAATCAACGCTGAATATGTCTATAAGGCCGTAGGGCCAGATCACACACGGTTTGTAAAACAAAGACCTAAATCTTTTGTTTACTATTTTTTATCTTAAAATATTTTCTTAGGTCATAAATTATTTATTATATTTCTTGAACTAGAAATCACTGGATGGCCTAAGATATTAATAAGAAATATCTTTTGCCATCACTGATGAATTTAAGTTTTTATCCATGCTTTTAGACAAGCTACAGATTATTCATAGTAACTGAAAAATCCGTAGCTGCATTATCATAATTTCTTCTGGAGGTGTGGCCAAGTATAAAAAAAGTGTTTGACGGAGAATGTGTGATTCGCATAATGAAGGCGTAGAGATTTATATTAGTATAAAAAGTGCACATTCTACATCAGACCCAAGAAAATTATGTATTACTTATGTATGAAGCTGCTTGACTTAGTAAAGTAGTCACTACATAATGTTATTAGGTCAGTAATTCCAATAATAATTATGATGGTAGCAGAACAAATTCCAAGACAAAATACTGTTTTAGTCAAGTACTCCGATTGCCATAATTCCAACATTAAAAATATCATAAATTAATACTCCAGTTTTTAATTTGTGTACGTAAAGTAACCAATAGGAATCATACTAAATGACCATCCTACTATAGGTCTCAAAGAAAAATATTTAAAAGGCTCAAATTAAAACTGGAGTAGAGAATAATATTAGGGAAGTCCACACCAAGATATAGCATTCACCTAATGCCTAAAAGATACTATACAATGCTACCTGGTAAAGACTTTGCTAAAATGATTTCATTCTTTTCATTATTGCTAGAGAACATGTTCTAATGTTCATGAGCATGTTCACTAGCCAAACAGTGGATTAATCACCTTTGACAATACCTTTGAAATACTAATTTCTTAATAGAGTATAGGGTAATATAGTCCAGGGAAATACCCAAATAACCTTGAACAATAGGAATTGCAGAAAGTGACAATACTAATAACTTCTTGGTAACTCAATCAAAAAATTAATAAACAGACAAATAAATGAGCTACTTAAAGTCTCGAAGGTACTGTCAAAGGAACTGCTTTAAATAATCCAAAATGATGAACAGAGAAATATGGCTTTATGGATGACTTGTTCATATTGATCAGTCTTGGAATTTGTTCTGAACGCAGGTGCCGAGGTGTCACTTGGCCACATCTCCAGAATGTCTCCGGTATTTAGTACCGTAGTGTTACATAATGGTAAGTTACATACAAAACCTATGTGCATGTGTCATATAAAGGCCGTAGCACATTTATCAACCCGGATAGGAATCGTAACCGTATCAAATCGAGGCGGTCAGTATTCTTTATATGAAACTCCATACTTCAACGTACACTCTGCACGGTAACGTAAACGCCTCGCCTCGTTATTGATAGCGTGCGAAAGGCGATGACTGCTCGCAAAAGGCGATACGGTGTTAATTCCTTTCCGAGTAGATATGTTTGCTATGACCTTAACCCCCTTATTACACCAAGTGATACTAAAAGTTACACCTAGGATGAATCCTGGATTAAAATGACATTTTCATACTGAATGTCAATTTAAGCCAGAGTTTAACTAGGGTGTAACTTTTATTAATAAGGGGGTAGTAAGTATACATACACACATCACACAAATTAGATATCAGACATCAGAGGCATAACTGCTGCTGTCTTTCCCGAAAACTATAATCCGGGCCTTTTCAAGTCGAGAGTGAATATGCACTTACAGGGCAGATATGTACCATCCTAGACCGCATCCCACTTAACATCAGGTGCGATTGTGGTCAAATACCTGCCTTGTTATGCATTAAAAAAAAAGACTGTATTTCTATGTATTACTAGCGGCCGCCCGCGACTTCGTACGCGTGAATCCCGTTTTTCCCGTTAATTCCCGTTCCCGTGGGAATTTCGGAAATTCCTTTCTTAGTGCACCTCTACGGTACCTAAGCCACGTCCCGTCACGTCCAAATTTCAAGTGCCTACGTTTAGCCGTTTAGGCTGTGCGTTGATCTGTCAGTCAGTCAGTCAGTTTCTCCTTTTATATATTTAGATTTTCATTCAGTTTACTAGTTATCTTTTCAATTGAGTCTCATTAACAACGGAGATCGCAAGCATGCTCCACTTCCATGATTGACAGTCATGACGTAATCTTAACATAAGTTATACCGAATTTAGACGATGTGATGTCTAAAATCGATATAATTCCACGATGAGATTTTTGCGTGGCCTTCATGTCAGTTTGTATGAGCCACAAATGTGTTTGAAGAGTATGTTAAATATTGATAAAACCTTCGCCAAATGCATTTTTTATTTATTTTGTTTACGATGGATGTGGCATTAAAAGATGTGACATCATGCCACATCCATCGTAAACAAAATAAATAAATAAAAAATGCATTTGGCGAAGGTTTTATCAATATTTAACATACTCTTCAAACACATTTCTTTTCGAGTGTATATCATAGTTGCGACAAACAAAGGTGCTACAAACGTAGTGGCGACAGTACTACTAATGTCCAAGGATATTTATTTATTTATCATCATCATCAACAGCCCTTTACAGTCCACTGCTGGACTATAAGTCTCATCCGGCAGGCGGCAGAGTAGAATACATTACTATGTTTGTCGGGCTTTATTTTAGGTCGTTCAGTAAAAATTGTGTCACAGTATAGTTTGTCGATCAGAGGTTCTGTCGATCGTGTGTCGAGCCTAAGTAATGTCGCGCTAGGGTTAGTCGCTCCAAAGTCCTGTCGTGCTTTCGTTTGTCGCGCTAACGTTCGTCGAGCTAATGTGTTCTTCCGTTACGTTCGCTACGTTTGTAGCACCATTGTTTGTCGCAACTATAATATACACTTTCTTTTCATACTTCGCTGCTCGTTTCAATATCCACTAACAGTTCTATGTCTACAGAAGTTTCTGCTGTGAGATGACCATATACGTCCGCCAACTCGGGCGCAACGTGACAGGGCGCGAGACGGCTTCGAACAAGCAGACGGCTAGCAAGTCCTGTGCATTGTCGTTGGTTAGGCAGCTGTACCATCTTGGGGTTATCGAAGCTTTCAGCGGCACTTTGAAGAAAGACAGGTAATTGTTGAAAGAATAACCTTGTGTATATATTACGGTCAAAGTGATAAATGTGAAAATTATGAATAATCGCCGGTTATTATGAATAATTACCGCATGATTTGGTTAATGTGATTAATATGAGGTCATTTATGTGTGTATAAAACTAAATAGGCGGCTTAGGGGTGGCCCAAGGGCCACCCCCGCCGCACCTTAACCTATTTTTCACTTTAAATCAAAACATTATGTTATAGGCATCATGGAAAAGTAATATTAAGCAAGAAACATTCCAAACTCATTATGCCAAATTATATTAATATATGATATCAAAACGTTTAAAAGTTGGGCTGTACACGAGCACGTACACAAGATGTTGTTCTCTTTTATGAAATTTGTTAGTACTAAGGTTGAATTATTAAATAATCACTGTTAAATGTGATTAATTTATCACTTTTACCGCGACTGTCGGTAATTATTCATAATAACCGGCGATTATTAATAATTTTCAATTTATCACATTAACCGTAACATATAGATCGTTTCATCCACGAAGACCGCCCATCCATTCTTCTTCTAATGTTTGAGTATACACGCTAAATCATCCATGAGTGCACACGCACACTACAATAATGCCGCTCGGATTGCTCGGATCTAACTCCCCGCACCCCGCGCTTCCCTCGACCAAAAATTCGTGGGGCGCGTCTTCATGGATGAAACAATCTAAGACATTGGTAAAGCAGCAAATGCTATAGCACAAAAGAGTTCACTGATAAGCGCTGGATTTTGTGCCTTGTCGTTGGTTAGGCAGCTGTACCATCTTGGGGTTATCGAAGCTTTTAGCGGCACNTGCCGCCGCGCCGTCGCCGCGCCTTTGCACTGTTCATACGCGTCGTGTGTAGGAGCGCTAAAAGATATCTTTACAAAATGCTACCTCGTAAAGACTTTGCTAAAATGGTTTCATTCATTTCATTATTGCTAGAGAAAATGTTCTTATGTACATGAGCATGTTCACTAGCTAAACCGTGGATTAATCACCTTTGACAATACCTTTGAAATACTAATTTCTTGAAAATGTTTATAAAAGGGAAAGGAACTACCCAAGGTCCAAGGAAATACCCAAATAACCATTGAAAAATAGGAACTGCAGAAATTGGTGGTGGTTTTAAAAATTAATAAACATACAAATAAATGAGTTAAAGTCTCGAAGGTACTGTCAAAGAAACTGCTTTAAATAATCCAAAATGATGAACAGAGAAATATGGCTTTATGGATGACTTGTTCATATTGATCAGTCTTGGAATTTGTTCTGAACGCAGGTGCCGAGGTGTCACTTGGCCACATCTCCAGAATGTCTCCGGTATTTAGTACCGTAGTGTTACATAATGGTAAGTTACATACAAAACCTATGTGCATGTGTAATATAAAGGCCGTAGCACATTTATCAACCCGAATAGGGATCGTAACCGTATCAAATTAATCGAAGTAGTCAGTATTCTTTATATGAAACTCCATACTTCAACGTACATTCTGCACGGTAACGTAAACGCCTCGCCTCACAAAAGGCGATACGGTGTTGATCCCTTTTCGAGTAGATATGTTTGCTATGACCTTAACCCCCTTATTAATAAAAAGTTACACTTAGGATGAACCCTGGATTAAAATGACATTTCCATACTGAATGTCAATTTAAGCCAGAGTTTAACTAGGGTGTAACTTTTATTAATAAGGGGGTAGTAAGTATACATACACACATCACACACATTAGATATCAGACATCAGAGGCATAACTGCTGCTGTCTTTCCCGAAAACTATAATCCGGGCCTTTTCAAGTCGAGAGTGAATAGGCACTTACAGGGCAGATATGTACCATCCTAGACCGCATCCCACTTAACACCAGGTGCGATTGTGGTCAAATACCTGCCTTGTTATTCATTAAAAAAAAGACTGTATTTCTATGTATTACTAGCGGCCGCCCGCGACTTCGTACGCGTGAATCCCGTTTTTCCCGCTAATTCCCGTTCCCGTGGGAATTTCGGAAATTCCTTTCTTAGTGCACCTCTACGGTACCTAAGCTACGTCCCTTCCAAATTTCAAGTGCCTACGTTTAGCCGTTTAGGCTGTGCGTTGATCTGTCAGTCAGTCAGTCAGTTTCTCCTTTTATATATTTAGATTTTCATTCAGTTTACTAGTTATCTTTTCAATTGTGTCTCATTAACAACGGAGATCGCAAGCATGCTCTACTTCCATGATTGACAGTCATGACGTAATCTTAACATAAGTTATACCGAATTTAGACGATGTGATGTCTAAAATCGATATAATTCCACAATGATATTTTTGCGTGGCCTTCATGTCAGCTTGTATGAGCCACATCTCTTAATGCCACATCCATCGTAAACGAAATAAATAAAAATATTATGCATTTGGCGAAGGTTTTATCAATATTTAACATACTCTTCGTTTACATTTCTGCCGTGCTAACGACAGCAGTAACTCCTTTTTGGCAAAACTATAATGAGCTCTATTTCAGATGAGCTGAGAGGACTTTTTATAACAGCAAAATAGAGTTACTGCTGATATCTCTAGCACGGCAGATGTCTTTTCTCTCGTTTCAATATCCACTAACAGTTCTATCAGGCCTGTTCATCTCCGCGAGTTTACATCG